CATATATATATAGATAGATATAGATATATATATATCTATTATGTATATTTAGATAGATAGAAGCTCAGTGGGAAGTTCCTGGCTGTCGCCATCTAAGTAATGCCTGACTCCCTGCTAATCCAAGAATGGGCAAAAAGAGATGGAGTGTGGGTGGAACTGAGGCGGGCAGAATGAAGCCTGGTTGATGAAACAGGCCCACCTAGTTAGAAGCTACCAAGCTAGCTAAGGCTTAGAAGCTAGGCTATGGGCTACTTTCATAGAATGTGTAAAACAAGCGTCGTTTTTAATGAAGTCACACATGACAACACAAAAAAATTAAAACAAATGCTTTTAATATTGTCTCTGTTCGTAAACGTTATACTACTTTGCACAGTTCCTTCTGAAATGCAGGCGTAACATGAATGTAATAAAGTTTGGTCGGGAGTGTTTTGACCACTAGACGTGAGCTTAAAGGTAACTTAACATTAAATCCATTTAATATTAATGAAGAATGTCAACCACACCATTGAGTACAAATACATCAGTTAATCTTTATTTCATGAATCACAATATTTATTACAAGTCCAGTATTCTCTTCTGTAACCTTGTCTTCACTAGGCCTCTGGCTCAGGTTTCTACTCAGAAATTACATGCCCAAAAAGTATTTCTCTGCAACTACGAGGTCTATATGAATAGTTTTGGTATCAAAATAAAGGTAACACTTGGGAGATGTACTGCAGAGGTGTAAGCATCCATATAGATGTTACTGGGTCAGATTAAATGAAGAATTAAGACAGAATAAATTAAAGATTTTATCTCCACCCAACAGAACTTTACACTTTCCCTTTGGAAAAGTGTAATTTTTCCCAGTATCCCTTTGGAATTCTGCACTTGCAGCCCCAAACCCCCAGCAAACCATATCTCAACATCTGAATATCAGATGCTCTGAACATCAGATATTGAGATAGTGCCAGCATCCAAGAGGCCGTCAACCCAAATTTTGTCCACATTTTATTATACCTGTTGTGCTGTGCTGCAGGCATGCTGTGGCAGACGTGTGGCACCACGTCTATGTCCCAGGTATTTCGGCTGTAACATACAGTTCTTAAACTTTAAACAGCTCATGTGGTCAGGCTGGATTTTCAGACAAACTCACCCGTGACTGTACTGATAAGAATCAGTGATTTGGGTAAATGCAGACTGAGTTGATGAGAAGCACTACTTCAGGTTTTGTCTCCTGCAGGTCTCTTTCTCATCACAGCTGGTATAGAAAGACCAGAGATGGTGGAGGTGTTGGCCAGCAGCAAGGAGGAGCGCAACACATGGAGGGCTGTTATACAAGACACCATGCACTGCATGTGAGGACACACACACACACACACACACACACACACACTCACATTATGTTACGTTAAGTATTTCAGAGTTCTTTTAGTGGAAGAACCAAATGCCAACATGTTCTATTTACCACTGTTTTTCTGTGTAAACATCAAACACTGTTATCTGAAGCTTTCTACAGACTGTGAGATTTAATCAATCTTATAAGTTTAGTGCAGCTACACTGTGTGACATGGATCTTATAAACTTGGGTATGACATCAAGTTTGATGTATGCAGACTGTGCAATGACAGCGCTTACTGAATCGCAGGCTATGAGGTATGATCCAATAGCTTCCTATACTGACTGCGCAAGGATGCTGCACGGGTTATTACTTCTCCAACTGTGAAGCACAAAAGAGGGTCACTATATACTGTGGAGTGTGTGTGCGTTTGCTAGCTGCTAGGTTGCTCACCTGGCAGCAGTCAGCATATTCATGGCTTAATATCTCTATGTCCACAGGATTAAAATGGAGGTTCTGCCTTTTATAGTATTGGAGCTCCATTGACAAGGGCTTTTTTCATTCACTGTGGACAAGCGTAACTCAGAGTGAACATACTGAACAAATTCAGATCAGCTATTCTGGAACCAAGTTTTCTATCTCAGGGTTTATCAACTCAGAGTTCAGGGTTAGACTCGGAGTTTGTGAAACCTGCTCTCCGAAACAAGGCCATAGGCTCTACCTTTTTGTAAAGCCTCAGCCTTCTGTAGAGGTACTTGCCCATAAACATCTGCTCGTCGATCTACGTTCCAACCCTCACCTATGGTCATGAGCTCTGGGTAGTGACCGAAAGAATGAGATCGCGAGTACAAGCGGCCGAAATGAGTTTCCTCCGCAGGGTGGCTGGGCTCAGCCTTAGAGATAGGGTGAGGAGCTCAGACATCCGGGAGGGACTCGGAGTAGAGCCGCTGCTCCTCCACATCAAGAGGAGCCAGTTGAGGTGGTTCGGGCATCTGGTAAGGATGCCTCCCGGACGCCTCCCTTGGGAGGTATTTCGGGCATGTCCAACAGGGAAGAGACCTCGGGGCCGCCCCAGAACACGCTGGAGGGAATACATCACCCGGCTGGCCTGGGAACGCCTCGGGGTTCCCTCGGAAGAGCTGACGGAGGTGGCTGGGGAGAGGACTGTCTGGGCTTCTTTGCTGAGGCTGCTGCCCCCGCGACCCGGACCCGGATAAGCGGAGGACGACGACGACGACGATATATGTCAATATTTCTATATATAAATTTACTACCAATACCACACCCATGATGGAGAAAATCAAAACAAAAACAAAACAGATAGATGGTAAATCAGAAAAGAACAAATAAACTAAACAAATACACAGTAAACACTCAATTATGATCAATCCCCTTCATCCCTGTGCCTCGTGAAAATTAAATTGTTGTACAAACACTCCACTTGTTTGGACATCCCTTGAGCTCCTCATTCAAACCGTTCCACCGCTTCACCCCACAAACAGAAATACAAAAACTTTTCTTGGCTGTGCACACCTTATAATTTTTAAATTAATTAAAAATAATAAACTCCTTAAATTAAAACTCCCTTCTCTTTCAGTGAACAATCTTTGAATATTATAAGAATAAGAATAACTTTATTCATCCCCAAGGGGAAATTCAATTATCTCTCAGCTCATCTATTATATGTCAAAGAATTATAAAGCCTGATGGCTGTTGGCATGTAGGATCTTCTGTATCTCTCTGTCCTGCATCGAAGAGAGAGGAGCCGCCCACCACAGTTTTTTTGGTCCATCAAGGTGTTGTGGAGTGGATGATCTGGGTTGTTCATGATGGCCTTGGACATCTTCAGTGTGCATCTCTCCACCACCTCCTCCAGCTCTTTTGACTAGTTTGTCCAGTCGCCTTGCATCTTTGTGTCTGATGCTTCCTACCCAGCAGACTGCAGCAAAACGACACACTTGCCACCACAGACTGATAAAACATCTGCAGCATCTTACTACAGATGTCGAGAGATCTGAGCTTCCTCAAGAAAAAGAGGCGACTCTGCCCCTTTTTGTAGAGAGCGTCTGTGTTTAGGGACGAGTCCAACTTATTATACAGGTGTACACCTAGATACTTATAGCTTGGCACCTCGATGTCCACCCCACAGGTATTCACTGGCTGAAGAGGGGGGTATTATGTGGCAGTTGATTATTTTTTGCTGTGAATAATATTTGTGACGTTTGAAAGTCCACCAGATCTGCAAATTTGAGTATTTCTGACTGTAAGAATAATGGTTCTGCAGTATCAGTTCTGATCATTAAAGTGAGTGAGGAAAATGTCATCTTAAAAAGCAGGAATGATGGCCAAAACTACAAAAATAAGAGGCTTTCAGTAATAAAAACAAAACAGTTGATTTTATTTAAAACACTGACTGAATTGTTTCACGTGTGAAGACGAAACCCAAGTGGACAGAGAGCTTACAGTGAACTCTTCCAAGATGTTATTTCAGGGACTGTACAAATGGCGCATTTTTTGCGCCTTCAAATACTGTATGTTGTTTTTTTAATGTAGATGCACGGCAGGTGCTCTCAAACACCAGAGTGACACCATGGTGTGCACGCGTTCCCAAGCGCCTCTTTTTCAGGGTGCGACGGCTACACCCTGAGATAAACAGAGTTCAACTTTTGGAACGCAGCAGCGTGCACTGCATGTCATGCAACAAGGAATAACCAATCGCAGCCGACAGCTATCTTTCCTTCTTTTGTAAATATCAGTCTGTGGTAAATATGGAGAAGTTAATCATTTTAGCGCAAGGCTATCCAGAGTTTAACATCTGTCCCACAATAGGCCTACACACAAACAGCATTTGGAAGAAGATCAGCTTTGCACTCAGGATGTCAGGTAAATAGGCTATGATACGGTGCTTGTTAAGGATATGTAGGAGCAATACCTTTAGAAAATGTTTGCACTCGTAATGAATTTAGGGGCACCACCCTCCTGTGGAGGGAAGTGACTAATCAAATTAATAACTCCGAAAACCAATTATTAATTCGTCAGTACACTTTTCAATAATGAATCAATCTCAATATCTGGGTTATGAATTCTCTATACAGTAATCTTATTTCCTGCTCAAAAGAAATATTCACAGACAACGACTTGGCGATAAATGAAGATTTATTTAGGGCTAAATGTTTAAAAACTGAGTAAATGGATACGACATCTATTGCACGTCTGTCCATCCTGAAAGAGGGATCCCTCCTCAGTTGCTCTTCCTGAGGTTTCTACCATTTTTCCCCCTGTTAAAGGTTTTTTTTTGGGGGGGGGGGGTCCTTATCTGCTGCGAGGGTCCAAAGGACAGAGGGATGTCGTATGCTGTAAAGCCCTGTGAGGCAAACTGTGATTTGTGATATTGGGCTTTATAAATAAAATTGATTGATTGAATAGTAAATGAGGATGATATGAAATGACACAAAATCAACAGTATGTATAAAGGGATTAAGACAAGAGGTAACACTTTAGTCAGTTATTTAGTTTGGCGATAGTGAGAGAGAGTATGTGACTATAGATAAATTGGGGACACATTTACCTAACGAAACCTAAATTAAGATCAGAATAACTAAGTCTCCTATTCGACATCAACTCTTATCACAACACAGCGGCTGCATCAGATGGGGGAAATTCTTTGCCTACTTTATTAGCAGCGTTGAATCAGGCGGACATTTCTCCGAGGACCCCCGGACTGTCACTTTGCGGACTTTCCCGGACTTCCCAGCCGAATGAAATCAGCTGGAACACAGTGGTGGAGGAGCTGTTGAGCCTGACTGTGACGTCCTTCAGGTGGCCCTCAAACGTCGGTTCTCTTAGGCTGCAGAAAGTCCCTTGGTTTGGCAAAAGAACCACTGTGGCAAGTGGCTGGCAGCCGCTGGATCCAATGAATCTGATGGAGTTGCAGGTCGAACAGTAGCTCATTTATTTAGCTGTGGCTACACGCTTATAATAAAGTTGAAACAATCTCGTCAGCCGTTCAGTTTTATTATCAAAGTTATTGCGGCTGGTATCGTCGCTTCAGGTATAATGTTACTGAAGGCACAGACAGAACGAAAGAAAGAAAAAAGTAAAAGTAAAATAAAGTAAAGGAACAATGTAAAGAGTAAAGAAAGTAACAGGACGGAAAGAAAGTAAGTATAAGTTAAAAGAAAAAGTGCAGAGATGCGCAGAGCTCAATAGTTTTATCTGACCAGCCTGAGTGGGTGTGTTTGAGGCAAGGCGGGTCTCTTAGTTTAGACATTACTTTATTTCGGAGGAAACTTAATGAACTTTAATGAAACTTTATTTTGTGAGATTATTTACTTTAACGTGTTATGCACGATAGATACTCTTCCCATTATGATCAAAATCGGCTCTTAAGATCAAATTAAATTTAATATGATTATTATAGGATATCAGCGGAACGCAAATATAAATATTTCATGCACAAATACTACAAACTAGTCTGCAATTGCATCAACAACAACATAACTTTCTCATACTATGACCTACAAGAGTGGGGAAAAAATCATTCAACCAACAAACAAGGATTATGCACAGTTACAATGTTAGAACATGAATAAAATGTATAGTTTTACTTTCAAGAGACATTTCAAGTTGGTTACAAAAGAAACTTGGTCTCTGCTCAGGTATGCATACTGAGTTTATGACTCCCATCTGGATTTCTTATCTGATCATCACCCGGGTGCGAGTCAGGTGGGGCTTGGGTAGTACCCATGGATGTGACAAATGGGAGAAGATGTGTTGAATTTAAAAACATAGTTAATGACCCCAGGTCTGGCAGTTTATCTGGCTGTGTTGTCAAACGCTGGATTTTTTCAGGATGTTAATCAGAAACTTCAGATCTGGTCTGGTTGATGCCAGGATGACTGGTGAAAGAGTTCCTTAAGAATGAGGTGAAGCAGCCTAAGCAATAAACATTTGACCCTCAGAGTGGCCCATCTCACCCCTGTCTATTTACTTTAGGTTTTGGGAGAGTACAGAAGGCTATTGTTCCTACAGTTGTTTAGCAACCTCAGACACAATCTGCTGCTGCGTTCTCAAAAGCTGGCCCTTTAAAGTGTCAGATTCTCCTAGCAGATACTCAGCTCTGATATGTGGCACTGAAGCAATTCAGAAGTACTTTAAATGTCACAGGCCAACAGGTGTGTTTTACAAGGAGGTCCTCAGTTTGTTTGGATGGAGAATCAAACTTGTTGGATAATATTTGAACTTCACACTAAGGCTGTATTTGCATGTTGACAGGGAGAAAGATGAGGACGAGGGAGTTCCCAGTGAGACAGAAGAAGACAGGAAGCAGCAGGAGAACAAAGCAAAGGAGATCCGAGGTGCATGCCCACATAGAGTATTATTATCCACTATTCTGTTCTAATCGTTAAGTGTCCTTGCATTAATTTGTGTTTTATTCCAGAGCTTCTACGGAGGAAAGATGAGCAGATCATCTCTTTATTGGAGGAGAAAGTCCACATCTTTAGAGATCTGAGTGACTGGAATCCCCCCCCTGATGATCCAAATCCACCCGTCAGGGAGCAGATGTTATTCATGGCCACACCTGATGATATCACAAAGGGGGAGCCAATTATAAAGGATGCCCTCAGGGAGGGTGAGCAGGGTTCAGAGGTTATGTCATGATGAAATGTTAATATTGTGTCTAGTGTTGTGTTGTTTGCGAACGAATCGTTCAAAAGAACGAATCTGTTAAGTGAAAGTACTGAACTGAATCACTTCTGGGACTGAATCGTTCATTTCTCAGTTCAGTTCAGCTCAGCTGTGAGCATGCAGGCCGGAAGTGGAACTGCCGATTCGGTCCGTGCAAATGATGAATCACTCGCGAGTCGCGAGGCAGCCAGGGTGCAGGGAGGGACTGCCCACCGCCTGATGAATCACTTGGTGAATGAATCACTCGGTGAACGACGTAACCTTGATCCCTGATTCAAATCATTTCTACTCAGCGATACACTTTCATAGGGACTGTTTTCTTCAAGCTAACGGCGAATGTAGCCAGGAGTCAAGTCACATGAACACAATCACACACCTCCCCATTGTTTTGGGTCCATGTCATTGGTCCGACCTCCCATTAGTTCGACCAGTCCGACCTGTTCGTAGTAATGGGAAGTCGAACTGATGGAAGGTCCCATAAGTCCGACTGTCCATTCTGACCGTTTACCTCCATTCGGCCATGGGAGTGAAAGGCATGCACCGTCTCTACAGGCTGTTACATATTATGCAACCAGCAATCTGATCTATTGAGAGTTTATACTGTAGTGAGGCATAGCCTAATTCCCGACAGCAAGATTGGTTTTTAAAATAATAAAAAGTCAGTTAACCCTCAGAACTCAGAGCGGCAGCTTTCATATTTTGCAGAATATCTCTAAAACCAAGCAACGGAACTTAATAGATTAAATTGAGTTAAGTAGCTTACCTGTTAGTTGTTCAAAGCTGAGCTAGGGGCGATTATAACCTTTCCAGAAAGTTTTTAATCCTGATTTGACTTGATGGCTCCTATTGGGCTCTCTCAAGAGTGTGTAGCGCTGTCCTTGGTGCTGAACAGAAAATCAGCACAGTAGAAAACAGAAGAAGCCCGCAGGGGCCCGCGGGCCCGGACCGTCAAATCAGGCTGGGCCGTTTTTTTATGAATACGTCGGGCTCGGGCTCATTGACTCTAAGTTACATTGTAACTAAGCAGCATCCTGCACAGCGGTATTTTCATTCAGGCATGTCTCACTCTATGCAGCATGTGTGATGTGTGTTTCTGTGTGTTTCTGAGAGCGCTTTCTCTCAGAAATTCTCACTTTTTCGCTCTCTCAGAGCAAGAGAGAGAGAGAGAGAGAGAGAGAGAGAGAGAGCGGCTGCGCGCCTCAATGAAAGCGCATGACAGAAAGATAATAAGACAAAATAAGATAAGAAACTTTATTGTCATTGCACAGCAGATATAACGAAACTTCGTTGGGCAGCAATCTCTTGTCTTGTAGCAGCTACAATGTCGAGCATAAAAGACAAGACAGAGAGGTAGAAACAAACAGCCAATGTGTGTCTGTGTGTGTTATGTTCAGGTGTTGTCACGTAAATAACAGTGCCCAAGCAATAAACAGGACAGACAATAGGATTTTATTTATTTTTACACTATATTTTCACTGAAAGCTGACCGAATCCGACCCGAGTCCGAATACAATTTATAGCTACATTTCTGACCAAACCCGGCCCGGCCCGTCGGGTACCATCGGGCTCAGATCGCCACACTCTAGTGTGTGTGTGTCCTATCTCTAGGGGCCTATCTGAATTTCTGTCTTTGAGAGATATTATTTTGTAATATAACTGAATTTTCTATCTATACATATAAATTTTAAATATATTAAAATTATAAGGCATCTTTGAGTAAACTGCGAGTATCATTTAAGTAGGCTATTAAGCATGTATAGTTACAGCCCACACTGTAATAAGGTACTGTAATGCTGTCTTTTTAAAAAAGAAAAAAGAAGTTTAACGTTAATTTAAACTCATTTTTATGGCTCAGATGTTGTTATACCGTAATTTTATTTCCTGAAGAGGTTGTTTGGAAAATTGCAATCTGAAAAGTAACCAAAGCTGCTTAAGAGGTTTCAAATTAAAAATAAAGGGAAACAGTGTAGGAATAACTTGTATAACGTTTTTATTAACAAATAGTAATATAAAACCTTGTTTTCCCTGTTTGAGACCTTAAAAAATAGACTGCGACTTATATGCCAGTACGATTTATATTCCAAGTTTTACGGTAATAAATAAATCTGTATAAAATAGGATCAAATATGACAAACTAAATGCAAATAAAAATACTATACATAATTTAAAAGAAATGTGCAAATGTGCAAGTGTGCAAGAAGAAGAGCAGTTATTGCATTGGCCACATTATTGCAGATTATGGTGCTTGCAGCAGTCTTTTCACAGCCATGGGATAGAAGCTGTTTTTGAGTGTTGGTGCGAGCTCGTATGACTCTGAGCCTGCCGGATCGGATGTTGGTGAACAGAGAGTGTCCTGGGTGTGTGGGCTCGTTTCTGATGTTCGTGGCCCGTCGGAAGAAACGGCTCGAGTAGATCTCGTGCAGGCGTGGGAGTGGGGAGCCGACAGTCCACTCAGCCATCTTGATAACCCGCTGCAGCTGTTTCCTCTCTGCTGTGGTGCAGTTGCCGTACCATACCGTGCATCTGTAAGTCAAGATACTCTCTATTGTGCATTGATAAAAGTTCTTCAGCAGAGGTGGAGGGAGTCTGTTCCTCATCAGCGTTCTGAGGAAGAAGAGACGCTACTGGCTTTTTTAATGATGTGGGTGGTGTTCACAGAAAAAAAGTAGCCTAATTAATTGATAATAATAATCATTTAGCCTATGTCGGACTCGGTCTGGGCTCACTGACCCCAAGTTACATTGTAACTAAGCAGCATCCTGCGCAGCGTAGGCATATCCAACCTGTTGCAACGGAAATAACTGAAGTAACCACGACCTCTTAACACCACATTAATAATTGGCAAACTTTCTGGGGAAAACCTGGTCTTATTAGGAGAGACGGCATTCATCCCACTTTGGATGGAGCTGCTCTCATTTCTAGGAACCTGGCAAACTTTATTAGTAAATCAAATCCCTGACAACCCAGAGTTGAGACCAGGACTCGGAGACGCAGTCCTATACGCCTCTCTGAGCTTCTAGTTCAGTTACCCAGCCATAGTTTTCATAGTTTTATACAAACGGTGTCTGTCCCCCGACCACCTAAATTATTTAAATCTAAAATTAAACAAAGAGGAGTTGTGCATAACAACCTCATAAAAATTAAAACCTCTTCTGTGACAGAAAGACAAAACAGGAGAATTAAATGCGGACTGTTAAATATCAGGTCTCTATCGTCTAAAGCAGTGTTAGTAAACGAATTAATATCAGATAATCATATTGATTTACTCAGTCTCACTGAAACCTGGCTGTGTCAAGATGAATATGTTAGTCTAAATGAGTCCACTCCTCCCAGTCATAATAATACCCACATTCCTCGAGGCAGCGGCCGAGGAGGGGGAGTTGCAGCCATTTTTAACTCTAGTCTGTTAATCAGCCCTAAACCTAAACTAGATTATAATTCATTTGAAAGCCTCGTTCTTAGTGTTTTACATCCGACCTGGAAAACCTCGCAGCCACTTTTATTTGTTATAGTGTACCGTGCTCCTGGCCCGTATTCTGAATTTGTATCTGAATTCTCAGAGTTTTTATCCAGTTTAGTTCTTAAATCAGATAAAGTTATTATTGTAGGCGATTTTAACATTCATGTCGACGTTGATAATGACTCCCTGGCTACCGCGTTTATCTCATTAATAGACTCCATTGGCTTCAGTCAGGGTGTACATGAACCCACTCACTGTTTTAACCATACCCTCGATCTAGTTCTGACGTATGGAATTGAAATTGATAACCTAAAAGTCTTTCCACAGAATCCCTTGCTATCAGATCATTATCTGATTACTTTTGATTTCTTTTTACTCGATTACACGCCACTCAGCAACAGTTACTATACTAGATGTTTATCAGATAGTGCTGTCACAAAATTTAAGGAAAAGATTACTTCGTCGTTAAATTCAATACCAATACCTTCAGTAACAGAGGTTTCCCGTGCCGACTTTAACCTCTCCCAAATTGATCATTTTGTTGATAGCGCCGTAGGCTCGCTGCGAACAACGCTCGACTCTGTAGCTCCTCTTAAAAAGAAGTTAACAAAGCAAAGAAAGTTTGCTCCTTGGTATAACTCTCAAACCCGTAGGTTAAAACAAATATCGCGAAAATTTGAAAGGAATTGGCGATTAACCAAACTGGAAGAATCTCGTTTAATCTGGACAGACAGTCTCAAAACTTATAAGAGGGGCCTCCGCAATGCCAGAGCAAACTATTACTCAGCATTAATAGAAGAAAACAAGAACAACCCCAGGTTTCTTTTCAGCACTGTAGCCAGGCTGACTGAGAGTCAAAGCTCTATTGAGCCTTGTATTCCTTTAGCCCTTAGCAGTAATGATTTTATGAGCTTTTTTAATGACAAAATTCTAACTATTAGAGGCAAAATTCATGACCTCCTGCCCTCAGATGGTAGGCCTACCTATCTAACCTCAAACACAGCTGTAGAATCTAATATATATTTAGATTGCTTCTCCCCAATTTCTCTTCAAGAATTGACCGCAGTGATTTCTTCATCTAAATCATCAACGTGTCTCTTAGACCCCATCCCAACTAGGCTACTTAAGGAGGTCTTTCCTTTAGTTAACACTCATATATTAGATATGATCAATATATCCCTATTAACAGGCTATGTACCACAGTCTTTTAAGGTAGCTGTAATTAAACCTCTCCTAAAAAAGCCCACCCTGGATCCAGAGGTGTTAGCCAACTATAGACCAATATCTAATCTTCCCTTTATGTCAAAGATCCTTGAGAAAGTAGTCGCAGACCAGCTGTGTGATTTTCTCCAGGATAATAATTTATTTGAGGAATTTCAGTCAGGATTTAGAGTGCATCATAGCACTGAGACAGCTCTAGTTAAAATTACAAATGACCTTCTGATTGCTTCAGACAAAGGACTCGTCTCTGTTCTTGTTTTATT